AGCTTAAGTGGTAGAGTGCTAGCCTTGAGCTGAAGAGCTGAGGGACAGCACCCAGGCCCAGAGTTCAGGCCCCATGACCTGACCCCCACCCCGAGAAAAAGAGACAGAAAGAGAGAAAAAGAGACAGAAAGAGAGACAGAAAGGAAGGAAGGAAAGGAGGGAAGGAAGGGAGGGAGGGAGGGAGGGAGGGAGGGTGGGAAAGATCTTTTCACAATCTTGTTTCTTCTATAAGTCTGGTGGAACCCTTAGCATTATTCATGCTACTCCCCACTTAGAAACAGACATTCAATTACCCCTGCTGTCTCTCTTTCCTTGAAGTGCCCAGGCCTGCTCCAGCCCATCCTGATGGCACCTGTCTACTGTACTGGGTTGTGTAATGGGGAATGTGTGGCCATTTCCGCTAACTCAATCTTTCCCAGTATTTCTGGATCTCAGAGGGCCTGGTGTTGGACAACAAACCTGATCATAAAAGGAGGGAGGGGGGCATTTCAGCACTGAGAAGAAGGGAAATGAAGATTTCTGGATTGTGGCACCAACCTACCAGAATGTGGGCAGTATGACAGCTCTCCCCCTCAAAGTCCAATTCTCACAAGAATACAAAGACCAGCAATTTCTTGAGGTAACAGACACCTAAGTCCTGCCAGAGGCATTTTCCCCAGCAAATCCAAAGGGGAAAAAAAATCCTAAACAACAACTTCAAATTCACAATGACTCAAACCACCAGTTCCTGTTTGTTTGTGTCTGAGCAGTGAAAAGATAAACCAGAGAAATGACTCTTTACAATTAGATACCAGAGTCCCGTGAGCAGCGCGCCTGGTGAGGGAAGCATTTCCTCTCCTTGGGACATCTTTTCCCTCCCACCCTGAAGTGTCCGGATTCTGCTGGGAGAAGTTTCGGCTTGCCCTTATCTAGGGACTTTACACACACACATTATCAGTCTCACACACTCCTTTTATCCCCAGATTTTCAGAACCAGCAAGACCAGGCCTGAGTGACTTGAATTTGGGGGTTGACCCAGTGGATACAAAGCATGACAGAGAAAGAGAGAGGGTGGGGGAGAGAGACAGAGAAGAGGGAAGGGAAGAATTCGAAAAATAAAAGAAAGCGAGAGAGACACAGAGACAGAGACAGACAGACTGACTGACTGACTGACTGACAGCAATTAACCTGATTCCGGACCACGGTGGCCAGGTCTGGGGGCGGGCGAGCCAGCGGGCTGGGCGCGAGTCCAGCCGCGACTT